CGCCGCCCGACGCTGGAGCGGCCACGCCTGAGAAGGTCACTTGCCCGGCCGCCTTTGCTAGCGAGGGGCGGGGCGAAGGGAAGCTAAAAGGCTCTGCGGAACTTAGCGGGCGAAGGGAAGGCGCCTGAGACCAGCCTTAGGGTTGGCAATGCGTGACGCTGGGCACGAAGCGTGAGCTTAGCCTATGCTGGTTTTTAGCCAACAAGCTATTGTGGCTTAGCTGCCAGAACTCAACTTTTACAGCAGTGTTTCTCAACCTTGGCAGCTTTCAGATGTGGGGACCCCAACTCCCAGAATTCCCCAGCCAGCAAGCTGGGTCCCCACATCTGGGGTCCCCACATCTGAAAGCTGCCAAGGTTGAGAAACACGGTTTAAGAGGCTTCTGACTATGCCATGACATTGCAGTGCAAACTCGGCTTAGGGTGGCTTGTCCAACAAACCAGAGCTTAGGGCGAACACAGCTTATAGTCAACTAGCCGTGACTCGGTCCGATGTTGCAACTGAATCATAGCACTGCTCCGACTCTGTGTCCCCCCTCTAGGTTCATTGGGGCCAATGGAACATGTAGGGCGGTGTCAAAAAACATTCGACTCCAGAAACTAAGAGATGCCCGTGTTTTGATAACCAAAGAGGGTAAGTAAGCAGCGAGCAAAAAGCAAACGTGTGAATCCAACTGAAGTGTTCGATTTTTAAAATGTCCCCTGACCGGTCACTGTCTCAGAGCGTAGAGGTGAAGGGGATCTAAAGTTAAAAACTGACGTCTGCATTGTTTAATCATCCAAAATTATCCTTGGCATCACAGAAGGGAATTGAGGAAGAAAACGAACCCACACGCATACACATATACACAGTTATTTTTTTTTAAAAAAAGTTTAATTGTATAATATACTTAAAGGAGATAAAAAAGGACAGGTGAAAACCAATATACAAAAATAAGGCTTATAATGGCATTGCATTCCACTCAAACTAAAAAAAAGGCAACCAAATATTAAGAGAATAAATAAATATGAAACATTAAATTACAAAAGTCATCCTGGCACTTGTAAACAGAAGACCATATCTGTTAGAAGATTTGATATTTTAGAACAGAAGTTCTACTTAAATTACTGAACAAAGTAAACATTCACTTGTACTTAAAAACATGCTTCTATTTACATACAGCCTATTGCTAACCCCACAGCACACAGTCAATTTCGATTACCTTTAGCATCGACATAACATGTAAACTGTAGCCTAACATGCAAAGTAATGTCCACAATTCTTAAGTAAGCTTGTGAATCTTCGGTTCAGATCTTTTCAGCCTTTAAGGAAGATGTTCAGGTCAGGCAAGAGCATTGAAGAATAGATTTAAAACCCCTTCAGAATGCAGTAAATTATTTTCATGGCAAGCACTTGCATTACGCTATTCAAATTAGCCAAGGGCAATCTTTAAAACCATGATTGGTTACATCACAATTTGTGGCTTGTCTACTTTTACTGTGAAAGCAGAGCCAACTTCTGTACTACAGAAGTTCACTCACTCCTATTTCAGTCCCCCTTCTTAGAAGCATACAAAACAAGTCAGAAATACAAAGCATTTGTGCAAAGTTCAAACTAGATGCTTGTTTTGCTCCTCATAATCAAGTTGGGGTTTGTTTATAAATCCTAGTTTAGTCAGGATGAGAAATCAAGTGTCTGGGGCTGGATACGCTTAAAACTTTACATTGCTGATTTTGTTTATCCATCTGCATGCTGCTTGTCTACAGTAAACCAGGATGACCCAGCAAGTTTGGATTATCATTCTGTCAATAATCCTTGACATTTTTTTACATTGGCATCAAGACAGCCCCAGTTCCAGAATGTGACTTTAAAACACTGCATGATGTAACAAAAGCTTTAGAAGGTGTACACATAAGTTTACAAACATCTCAGTATAAATAAATGTATCCATGTATAAAGCTTTCTCCCAGCTTTGTCGCTGAACCTTAATTATTCAATCCATGGGAATGATTTCAGTGGCACCACATTTGAAACTTCTACTATTGGCAAAATATTAATATCAATGTAACATGTAAAATTAACATCAGACGTTAACTGTGACTAAATACGCTACTAGGATAAAGCGCTATTAAACTAAAAGCGGCACACAAATTTATTTCCCAACATGGTCTTGTTTGATTCGATCTTTCAAAACCACCCTGAAATCCACTTAGCTTTTTCCCTCTAAAAGAGTATTTACATAAATACAATTCTTATTCTGAAATGGTTTTGTTAATCTAGCTTTTCTGTGAAATTAAATAAGGCTTATCTTATGCTGTAAATTTAAAGACAAGAGATGGACAATGCTAAAATTCTGTCCCAAATCACTATTAGCAATGTTCCATCAATTATTCAAATTTTGTTTATAGAGAACACCACCAGATATCTGGATCTAAAAAGAAAAATGAGGCTGCATTTACCAAAATAAGCTCCCCCACCCACCTAATTGTTATCATTTGTAAAAGGTGATATTTCTGGTCTGCCTACTATAAAATCAAGCCTTATAGCATCTTTTAAATGATCTTTCACAGCATGCTCAGAAACAAGACCATAGCAGGAAAAGAAGGTGGGTGGATACAACATTTATATCCTATGGCTAATAGCATCATTGCTGAAAGCTTAAAGAAATATACGTTCAACAAAAGCCAAAATGGAACCTCCTGATTTCCATAGGTCTGAAGTGGCCAAGAGAAGCTTTGTCTAGTACAAAAGTGCAGCAATCTTTGGAGACAATCCACAGAGCTGAGACCAAAGATTTCCTTTTCAGAAGTGCTTTGAATAATCACAAAGCGTGACCGAGAGAAGCAGGAATGCAAGATGTATAAAGCAGTCACATTTCAGGGTTACTTATTGCACAATTTAAAAATGCAACCCAGGTCCAAAATGTTTTTTAAACAGTCCCCATGAAAACATCTACTTGAGGGAGTAAGCAAAGAAGGGAAGCAGAAACACCCAGAGCACAAATGCTCCTTCTGGAAGGCTCTGCCTTATAGGCATTAATTTTTCCATTCCAGGGACAACTTCTACGTCTGATCAATAGGACAACGCACAGACCTGTCAACTCAGCCCATCAACCTGCAGTCCAGCAGGAACATCTGGAGAACATTGAAGGACAATGCTAAGCAACTTCCTAGCCTAGGGAGTGCTGCCTCCTTAGGTTGTCGCAACATTTGGCTTCTTTCTTTGGATTCTTCCTGCATATACTCCTGAAAGGAAAAATCAGAAATAACTCATTCTTGTTTACTAAAGGGTTACTAGCTTAGAATGCCTACTGTCTGTCGTAAGCAAGCAGTTTTAAAGCAGATGCAGGTTAAGTGTCAAACTGTGTATAGAAATAAATTAAGGTTGTCCATGAAACTGAAGAGAAACAGTAGCAAAGAGCCATTTGCAGCTTAAGCAGCTTTGTGGGGAACTTCTAAGAAACACAGCAGGTCCGCATTAAAATTCGGGATGTAGCCCATGGCTTTATACAACAGATATACCTGACAGATTTTAAATTACTTTGTCAGAACACATCACAGATTGCAGAAAAATCATTTTGATTTTTGTTGAGATACAAGAAAGTTGTGGAAAAGGCAGGTAGGTAAAACCACTGGAGGGCTGGTTGGCTGACTTTTAAAGAACTTGGGTTCATATTGATTTGATTTGCATATTGTGGTAAGTCATGGCTTATTAAATAAACCATAATTAGTCATGTTCATTCAACACACTACAACCACAAAAAATGCTTCCCAATCCAGAATGGCTGAGTTCACTCTCTGCCAAAACCAACCGCCATTTTGGCTTAACTCAATGGGCAAACCCAGCCATATCTTCAGAGCTACTATGAGTTATGTTGGGATTAATAGAAGATACCTGGAACCCTCATCTGGCAGAAAGAATAGTAAGAGACAGACTTTGCTGGACAGACACCACCGGAAGCTTCCTCCAGTCCCTTCTACCATTCAGGATATGGATGCTGAACTGTGGAGCTTTTAAGTTTGGGGCCCAGATATCAGAACTAGCTGTCTGTCTGTCTGTCTCTACAAGTGCCCCATCTCTATGATCCTTCATGAAGGGTTCTCAAGATGACCTCATTCCCTGTGGTCATGAAGAGTATCCAGTGGGGAGGGGACCTTTTCAAGGAGAAAGTTTGGTTCCAATGATGGAATTTGCTTCCCTGGGGAGATGCGCATAGAACTGGTAATCATTATGGTCTAACAGAATTTCTCTGGGGTGGGGAGCCCTGTGAGGGTCATGGGGGTGCTTGTAGTTGTCACCTAAGGAAGGCAACTCATGTATTTTTAAAAAATGTTTCAACATCACACTAACAAGAATAAGCAAGCAATGTTTTTTTAAGAAACAGATAAATCCTTTCTGCTTTTTTTTCTAAATTAATGTTAGCTTTCTGAAACCCTTTGTCCCTCATCAAAAAAAGTCCACATGCACAGCACCATCAGTACCCAAGACCTTCTCAGGCCACACACTCCTCATCATATACATACATTATGATGTATGTATGTGGTACAAACATGCATAATAATGGGAGGAACAGGTAAGTGTTCCAGCCAGGATGTTTTAGTTAAAACACAAAAACCCCACATTCAAGGCACCTCGTGTTATCCACAAATGAAACACAACTAAAAAATATTCAATCTGCTCAGTTTCTGAAGCTTTGCTCAGAGTAGCTACTACAGCGGACTATAATGAAACTGAGTCGCCTATTCATGCAATTGGTGATCACGAATTTTTTATTTCGTGTTCTGTTCGTTCCAGTCGGGGTTAGTATAGCACAGTTAGAGCAGAGCTGGCACACCAAGAGGAAATAAAGCATCTGCTGCTTAAGCTTTTTCTACTGAGATGAAAAACATACTCTTTTTCTTCTTACGTGAGATCCCAGCACCCGCCTTTGTGTACACACCTGAAAAGGCCTTGTTAGGCACTCTGTTGTCTGAGGGTTTCTTTCTATTTTGCTCAGCCCCCTTCACAGAGGTCTTAGGGGTTCTGATTGAACATAAAAGGAGTTAATAAGTCACCTGCATCCAAGGTAAATGCTACTTCCCAACATACCCATGACAAGAGGTTCTTCACCGGCAAAAAAAACATCGTTTTCTCCAAATACATCATTCCAGAAGTCCCATGGATGATGCTTTGGCATGACATCAGCCTTCTCCAACCTGGTGCCCGCTAGATGGGTAGATTTCAACTTCCAGATGGCTCAACTGTGTCTATGGCTGAATCAGGTCATCTGGAAACGATCAGTAGCCCCATCCCACATCTAGAAGACACTCCAGTTGAGGAGGTCCTGCATTATATGAATGAATTTCCTGCTTGCACGTTCTTTCCTCCCCATTCATACTCTGTTTTAATTTATAAGCTCCATCTTTATTGAAACGGACTTGGAAGGAAAGGCAACATTTCACTGGTGCAAGACATACCTGATATTCTGAAAGCCACAGTTAGCTGGGAAAGATGGCAGGCCAGCCAACTATTTGATTCTATGAAGCTTACATCGCAAATCACAGTTCAGTTTTGATCTACAATCAGGGCTTGGAAAGATCAAGTCCTGACAATTTCTGGATTTCAACTCAATTGTTCAACTCAATTATGATTTTTGGCAAATTTCAAGGTAATTTATGAGGAACAGGGTGTAACTGGGAGTGGGGAGCATGTAAGCAGGTGTCTCGTTCATTGCATCTAAACCAATCTGTTGTTTAATACTCTTATTTGATTAAATTGCCGTTTATAAACCCATTCCTGAACCCAAGCTGAACCCAAAAACAAAATAATACAACAGAATAAATACTGTATTCATAGAGTGCTACAAAGATGGAAATGAAACTTCAAAGACCCTATATGACTAACAGGTATGCGACAAGAAATGCTAGATCATCATCATCTCGGTAAAGAGAACATTAGCATTTCATATCAGGAAATATCTGTCTTACCCTTGTCTGGACAGCAGCCTTTGAATAGGAGCATTTTGACCTTGGTTTGGCTGAAGAACTCTGCAGAAAAAATAACATATTGATTTTACAATCATAAAGGTTGCTTTCTGATCAAGCAGCAGTAGAAAGAGAATAATGAAAACTAATAGAGAATTCAGGATGGAATAGAACGGAAAAAGCAAGGGACAAAAAAAAAGAGAAATTGTTGTGAGCCCCCAGGAGTTATTGGGAGTTAGGAGGCATACAAGTTTACTTCTTGTTGTTGTTATTATTATTATTATTAAAAATGTTACAGACCTGTTTTCGAAGATCTTTTGCTTCCCAATTGTTTTTTTATTTGGAATTCCCATTTCAGCAGCCCTATTGGGGAAAAGGTGCACATGAATGAAAACAAGACAATAAAACAAGCAAGCATATGGTTGGCTTATTTCTATCTTTATTATGTACAAAGCTATAAACTGGGTAGATGGGTTGCCAAATGGTGTACAAGCAGGATGTATAGACAGCTTTAGAAAAGACAAGATTCTGAGCATTTTCCGATATGAACCTCTGAGCTTAAAGTCTTACACAACTCAAGACACCCTGATACAATTGTTGCTTCCACTATTAATGATAGTTGAAGTTAACCAGGCTTTTTCTTGGTTGCAAATAGGTTTACAGATCTTAATTAATAGGAAATCCTAGCATTTTAGAGGGGGGAGAATCATGAAATAAGATAATGCAGTCACCAGAAATTCAGTTACCTGAGTTTACACTAATCATACTAAATCAATAAAACAATACAGGTAGTCCTCAGGTTATGATCACTTGTTCAGTGGCTGTCCAAAGTTACCATGGCACTGGAATTATGACAGGTCCTGGAGTTCTGGCTGCCACAGCGTCATGATCACATAATCATGATTTCTGATGTTCCCTGCCAGCTTCCCATAAGCAAAGTCAATGGGGAAGCCAGCAGGAAGTCAGAAGATGTGATCACGTGAGGTCCTCGCTTAATGACCCACACAGTCCTCATTTAACAAAGGCAACTGGGACTGCCAGAATTTGTCACTTAGTGATATGGTCACATGACATTTTGCTTTACAATTGTGTCACTTAATGATGGAGTTCCCAGTCCCAATTGCCGTCATAACCTGAGGACTACCTGTGACTGGAAGAGAAAATTTAGAACAGATTCCCAATGTTTCATATTAATTGACAAACCTTAAAATACAAACTACTTTGCCAACACATTTATCCCTGTGTGCTGATTGCATGGGCATGTTACCGTTTCCCCCACGTACTTTATGTATTTCTTTCTATCCAGAGACTTCTGCGTGGCTGTAGAAAGCGTCACTCTCTCTCTCGGGGACTTGGCTTTATCCTATATACCCAACAATTAGAGACGTTGGTTTTATTACAAGCTAATTTGTAAGATATTACTTTTAACAAAAACAGCCTTGCCTAAATTACAATTAAAACCAGTTGTAATCCCAGCAGAAATCATGCATGTCGGCAATAAACTGTATTTAAAACCAGTATTGAGTTTTCAGGTATACTGGGATTTGGGGCCCTACGTTCAACTGTAAAACACAAACACCGCCATCAGCTCCTTAACATGAAATATCTATTACGGACACATGCACGGGGTCAATCTGTACAGACCTGCTCTTCAAAGTCACAAAGAAAACAAAAAGAGATGCTACTGAATGCAACAATCACAGTTAACCGAAGGGCGGCTGCAACGCACCAGCTGCCGAAGCATTTTCTCTTTGCGAATTTCTCGATCGTGACGCAAGATGTTCATTCTTTCGGATGCTTCCATTTTGAAGAAAATATCATGAATATCATATAGTGCTGCCTGCAGCTGAAAAACAACAACACCACCACCAAAACTAAACTTCAAATGCCCCAAGTTTTGCTCCGGTAACATTCACAAGAAACATACGGACACCACACAGATTGGATCCTGAGGGACGATTTTCGGTGGATTTCAGAAAAACTGAGGCAAATTTAATTTAAGGAATCTCAAAATGGACACCAATAACAACATTTTAGGTTCCCAGTTTAATACAGGAACACTTTGGTAAGTGCCCTATAGAGCCTCTGTTAAAGACTTCAGTGGAAATCAAACCACATTGGGCAGTGAAAGATTTTCACCGTTGCTGCCCCTTGACACTTTATTTTTGTTTTATCTATCTTTTTAATGTGTGTGCATATCCCTTTGGGTCATTCTTGATTCTAGTGACTGCTTGGACAAGTCCCTGCAGTTTTCTTGGCTACGTTTTTGGAAGCGTTTTATCCTTGCCTTCTTCCTAAGGCTGAGAGAGAGGGACCGGCCAAAAGTCGCCCAGCTGGCTTTGTGCCTAAGTAAGAATTAGAATTCCCATGAAGTGCCTAGACCCACTACACCAAACTCATGGCTTATAAGAAGTCAATATTCAAAGTCTGTGTTTGGAACAACTGTTTTTTGTGACCATGAACCAATCTCGGGTATACCTCTATACTTTACCTGAGCTACCACTCTCTCTTGTAGATTGGCATCCTGAGCTGGAACGTTTCCTCTCTTCAACAGAGCTTCGGACTGGAAGTTTTTGATGAACTCCATTGTATCCTACAAAATGCACAAACGTACATGCTTGTCGTGGCAGTACAACTCTTCTCATAATGAATTCAAACACCAAGCCACTGAGGCCATCGTTGCTTTAAAGAAGGCAGGTTAGTTCCTTCAAAGAGAGTATCTGCCAAGTATTCTTTTTCAAGGAAAATTGATTAGGAACGGGACGGTGCTAAACCAGGATTTCTCAATCTTGCCAACTTTAAGATGAGGGGACTTCAACTCCCAGAATTCCCTAGCCAGCCATTGTTGGCTGGGGAATTCTGGGAGTTGAAGTCCACTCATCTTAAAGTTGCCAAGGTTGAGAAACATTGCACTAAATAGTTTCTTAAGCAGGCCCCTAACGTTTTGGTTTCATGGATAAACCAACCACCATTGGCCTCCTAACTTTATCTATCCAAAAGTCAATTGGAAACTGAACTGAAAAGCTGAAGCACCACTTTGATCCTTCATTCCTGCCCTCTCAGAATTTAACACCGTGGGATTTGCATCTAAGTAAACATGCACCACATTACCCCACAGGCTTTGAGAAATTGCAGAGAGAACTTTCTTTCACTCAACTTTGCTTTCTTTTCTTTAAAAAAAAGTCTTTAAAGCCAAGCTACCAGTGATTCAAGTATATCTCAAGGTCAGCTCAAAAACATCTGTTTTAAAATTAAACAAGGTCTTTGCTTCTTTGGAGAGTGATAGATGAAAATAATCAACAGCTACAAAAATGTACAATTAAACAAAGTATTGGAGGTGGCCTCTCCAACATTTCTTCCAACTCAAAAAAAAAACAAAAAACCCCACCCTATAATTCTAAGTGCATTTTTTAAGAACTGGGGAATTTATCTGACAATTGCTCACTGCCCAGAGTCACCTGGTGAGATGGGCAGCCATACAAAATGAATGAATGAATGAATGAATGAATGAATGAATGAATGAATGAATGAATGAATGAATGAATAGGTTTGGAGAGAAGATAAAAACTGTTGAAAGAAGTTGGGGAACCTCCATCCCTCCAGATGTCACTGGTTCCAGCCCCTGTAGCCACCATAGCCCGTGGCAGGAATGATGGTAGTGGGGGTCTAATATATGTAGAAGAGCACATCTTCCCCCCACCAAGACACATACTGGGGGGAGAGGTGGGAAAATAAAGGGGAGAGCTTTGGAGGTAACATTTGGGCAGCAAAGATGAGATAAGGAATGCCAGTGGCTTCAGGTTTCTGCAAATCATGCAAGTTTCTAAAGGAGCAGCTGCTGCAGATAAAGGAAGGGAGAAAAAGCATGCTCGGTGTTAATCGTGCGTACGTGCACATTCACAGCCATAGAGCCCATGTAGCTGGTTCCTTACGTGGACAGTTTGCCTGAGATGTTTTAGCTTCTCTGTTTGCAAGAGTCTTCTAGTTAGAAATCCCTTGGCTAGAGCAGAGATCTTGTTCAATTTCCTTTTCATCTCAGGACTGTACACCTTCAAGAGGAAAGGTAAAATCACGTAACCATAAGGCTATCTCCCCCATGAGCTTGCATTTAACAACTGAAACAAAGCAGAAGTCACACTCTGGGGTCTTAATTACCAAATCTGGTGCTATAGCCTTTTACGCGCATTTCCTGGGAATGGCATACCCAACTCCCTCACACACATACCATAGCTGAGATGAATTTATCCAGTAATATAGCACATTAATTAAAGAGCAGTGAATAAATAGCTCTTTATTTGCCAATGAAATGTTAATATTCATTCCTCTCGGATTTATTTACCAACACATTTCTTTAAATCCCCACCTGAGACCACCTCATTTTACTCCTGTTAATAGACCTGGATACCGAAACAGGTTTTCCACTTGCTGACTGCTCCCAAAGGTAGAATGGAGATCCAGCAGGTAAACTGGGTACAGCAGCATTCACAAAACCTACGTTTAAAAAGTGTTAACAGTTGATATCATAATTAAGTGAGTATCAAAATTAAAAATGTATGTTCGTTACACGCTATTCCTCATTCCTGCTAGCTAAAATATTAAGGATTAGATCATTATGCCGGCTGTCTGGATCATGGAAATAACCTTGTTAAGGTTCAGTTCTGTCTTCCAAGAATTATTAGAGGAAGGAAATGGAGAGTTTCTGTGGCTTTTAGTTCTTAACTCCATATAGTCAACACAGGAAAACACATGAATATCAACCAAATATGAAGGATATGTTCTTCGTGGTTTATTCACCCTGGGCTACATATTCAAATCAGTATGTACAGCTTCTGCTTTTACCAGCACTCTCCAAGTTCGTGCTATGGACAGCTTCAACTCGAGTCAGCACAGATTCCAACAAATGAACGTCGCTGATCTTTCTCCACTCCAGAGCCACACCAACATCAATTGGGGGAATCCCACTTTCAGCTGCAGCGTTTTTTTCTTCTTTTAACCTTCGTGCCTGCTCTTCTATCTCCTGACCATTTAAGAAAACAGAGATGTTGGTTATGACAAGCATTTGGAACGTCTCAGGACAAAACGTTGCTCCTTAAATCCTGTTTTTTGGAAAGTCAAGGAGTGGGGGACACGGGCTGACCACATTCAAGACGATTCCATTCTCCCAACCTTGTTGCTGATGGTAAGGATATCTCCCTAGATATATTTTCATTAGAATACTATCCAATCAATTGTCCCTACTGCTTTTAACATTTTAAAATTCAAGGTGCCTTGAGATAGTTTGTAATAAATCCTGGTAGGGAGACAGGAGACAGCATCAAAAGCTGAAAGAGACTAACATGGAAAGTGATCATCTGCAGAACTTGCAATGTCTTGCTTGAAAGACGCTTATGTGCAAAACCCCCCACCTTTGTTAGCTTTCTTCCCTAATCTGGCGTCTTCCAGCTAGGCTGGGATTACACCTTCCATCCTCCACAGCAAACACAACCTTTGCTAGCTGGCCATGAGGAGAGCCGTAGTCCCCACACATCTGAAAGCTGAGCAAATCTGATATATATATATAAAAAATCCTTTTACCTTTTTTTGTAAGGAAACATTTGTGGGACCAACCACCATTCTGCCATTTGACCACTATGCCCAGAACTCAGCTCTGGCTTCTACACGGTTGGAAAGGAGGGGGGCCATAATGGAACCTTCTCAATGTTTTCTCACTTTCCCCCATCCCACAGAAACAATTCCAGCATTCTAAGAAGACTTCACAAGAACTGGGGGATAGCTAGAGAACACAGATCTTTTCTTAGAGGAGCCCAATTCAGTCCAGGAAACATTCCATCAGGACTGTTTTGGCTGTCCAGCTGGATTTGGGCTTACCAACAATTAAATGACCAGACTACCTGTTCCTCCTACTCCAACTAGGTTGGTGGCCTTCAAACTCTGTTGCAAAGCCTTAGGTGAACGAGCCTAAGGCATGCTGACTACCGCAACCATCTGCCTCTTGCTGGCAAAACAATTCCCAGTTGCTTCTCGTACCATTTGAGGCACTGCAGCAAGGTACTTAATGATGCTACAGCCTCCCGGGAAGCTCTTCCCCCATCTCCAGACTATAATTATCCAACAGCCTGGCCTGATATTTACTAGGCATTGTTTTCACAACAGAGATACTGGCCTCCACCCAAAACAGTTTTGTCCCTACCTGGTGCATCCCAGATAGGTTGGAACTACCCTTCCCAATGTTCCTCGGCTGGGAATTCTGGGAACTGCACTCCAACAGATCCAGAGAGCACCAAGTTGTGGACGCCTGATCTTGAGACTCCTATCCAGGTTTTTCGATCACAACAGTTTGTTCACCTCCAGAATCCCTGCAGATTCAGGTTTCCGGAAAAGTGGAAAAGGTCAAAGGTCTCTACCCCCAGGGTTAGATTTTATTTGGTCCTCTCACCTTCTGCAGCCTCTCCTGTTCCCGCTCTTGCTCTGCTATCAACAACAACAACTGCTGGGCATGTTGCTCTTCGAGCTTCTGCCTCAGCTCTGCGAGGGCCCGCATCTTCTGCTTTAACGCCTCCTCTTCTGAAAAGCATCCGTATAAGATATAACCAATTCCTGTAAAACTCTGCGGTCTTACACAGCACGTACAGTAAACTTCCTCAATAGACTTTTCAAGACAAATGCTACCCACTCATGCAGGAACAGCCTCCCACTTGCAAGCTGTGTCACATCTGAGAAGGTTCAGTGCAGGGCAGAACAAGCATCAACTGGATGTCCCCTTAGTTCCTGCGGGAAAGAGCAGTTTTCAGGCCACCCCTAGGTAGAACATCCAAGTTTGGGAACGTCTATCGGTGGGCATCTCAGGAAGCTTTTTTGGGTCCAGTGGAAATGTCCCAGGCAACTCTGATGGTCTACCCACCCTATAGCATGGAATTAAAAGCATAGCTAGACCCAGCGAATGCCAAGCCTGCCCAGACAATTTTTTAAAAAATAATGTATTTTTCTTATCTATTTTTTAATTGGATTTATAGGGCCGCCCAACTCACACAATGTGACTCTGGATGGATGCAATAGTATGTGGGAATGACCTTGGGAGACTGGGCCCAGAGACACTGCCTAGGGAACAGTCAGATAAGAGACAGCATAGCCCACAGCTGGACAGTGGGTGGGGCAAGAGGCTCAGATGAGACCCTCCTAATTTCTCGGAGGTAAAGGAGACAGCGAGAGAATTGTACTTTCAGACCTGCAAGATTCTGCTAATGTAGCTTTACAATAAAGTAGAATTAGCTCATCTGTTGTATTTCCTGTCTGGTCTACCTGGTAAGGCTGACATCAGCTTACAACAGAAAGAAACAATAATAGTGCATTTTATATCTTTCTATCTATGTACCTATGACACATAAAGTAAGGCTGACTTTAATAGGGAAATCAGTTACTAACCTTTATGAACTCCCACTCAACTGGCAGCTGCAAAACTTTGAATCTTTCAGCAGTTAGGATAGCATTAAAAGTTATCATCATTATTACGTTAGCTGCCCAGTCATATGTCCAAGATGGGCGGCCATATAAATCAAATAAATAAATAATCAATCAATCAATCAATCAGTCAATCTTGTGGCAATCCAGTTAGCATTCAGGAAATTCCTCCCTGAAATGTCTATTACTACTTTGAAGCTTCAATCCTGTCCCTATTTCCTCAGGAGCAAGCCCCACTGAAAACAGTGAGGGACACCTACCGTCACCAAACAGACTTTTTAACCTTTATGAACTCCCACTCAACTGGCAGCTGCAAAACTTTGAATCTTTCAGCAGTTAGGATAGCATTAAAAGTTATCATCATTATTACGTTAGCTGCCCAGTCATATGTCCAAGATGGGCGGCCATATAAATCAAATAAATAAATAATCAATCAATCAATCAATCAGTCAATCTTGTGGCAATCCAGTTAGCATTCAGGAAATTCCTCCC